GTGTGGTCCCTATTATGTGATCTTGGGTCTCATCTTGCTGGTCTTGAACCTGTCGTGATGGTTTGTACACAGAAGCTTTCCAGTCAGCATTGAGGAACAGAGGTACAATTGTCATGGCTCCCGTGTTTTCTGTATTTTTATCTATTATTTATCTCTTATCTTATATTATATTTATATTATATTTATCTCTTATCGCTACTGTCTTCATTTTTAGTGGGCCTTGATATGTCTAGCTATTCTCCAGTTCAGCTAACTGTTATGTCTAATTATATATTTGATATATTATAAAGAATTTAAGGCATTTGCAGAAAGGAATGTGATGTGGACATCTTTAAATGGTAATGCTTTCTCCTCTCTTATAAATTCTAACTTTGAAATAATCTCACTGCTATATCAAATACATGTCAGTATCGGGAAGTATTCAAGCAAGAAAAATTTCATATTCTTGTCATTTAGAGAGATAAATAAGAAGGATTAGAAATACTTTATTCATATAGTGATGTGGCTTCATGTAGAACTGCAAAAATTATTTCAGGTCTTGTGGGCCAAGCTGTAGTAACTGTTTTTGTTGATTGTTCTAATACTAATGTAGTCACTGAAAACACAGAAATTATTAGACATTGCTTCGTTGCAATGAAACTTAGTATGGACACTTGAATTTGAACTTCACTTAATAGTAAAATTTGGAACTTTCACATAATAGCATAAAATATTATTTTTTTGGTTTTATTTCCCCAGCGCCTGCTCACAGATTCTACAGAAACAAGGGTGCACTAGATTAGGCAGAGGCCTTGGTTTTCCCCTGTTCTAGGGGAAAAAAAATGAAACCCAAGCAGACTGAATCTCCCTCAGCCTCTGGGACATTCAGAAACATCAGGTTGTTTGACAGATATCAGTGACCATTGTTTCAAGATTTAGGGAATCAAAGCTAGCAAAGCTGCTCTTGACTCATTGAAGTTGAACGAGGGTTTTTCTTAAGTACTGAGTTTTGAACTCAGAACCAGCCTACTGAGCTGCATCCTCAGACTGACTTTTATTTTTTATCCTCATGCAAGACGTCGCTAAGTTGCTAAGCTGCCTAGGCTGGGCTTGCACCTGCAATCCTCTTGCCTCATCCCCCAGAGGGCTGGAACTATAAACAAATGCCACCACATCTGGCTGAGCTGTGACTTTTGGTAAAACAATAATAATAATAAAACAAAATGACCAAAAGAAAATAAATGTTTTCTTCTATCCTGAGGAGATAGTTCTATCATATTTATGATATTTGTGGAAAAACCTTCATAGAAGTCCTGAAATTAGGACTTATTAATGGCATTATAATCCACTATAATGGCACTATAATTCCAAGAAAGTCAGTATTTCAATGTCAGGTGGAAGAAAGGTAATTAGTTCTTGGTGGGGTGACATTGTACCATAATTCTTTTTATCTTTATTAAGTTTATTGGTATATTAAGTATACAATACAATTACATTCATCATGTGCCTTTACATGACTTATCTTGGTTCTTATTTTTCGCCATTCCCCTGCCTTCCTGTCACCCCCTCCACCCTTCCCGATTGACAAAGGTTCTGTTTCCATGTTTTTCCTTTCACATATTTTTCCCTTTTTACCTTTCCCCTACCCCTCCTACTTCTACTCTTTTAGATCTTTTCTTCCTATTATACAATAGGAATTATACATTTGATCCTCATTTACACTATTAGTTTTTCCTACCAGAGAAACTATTCGGTATTTGCACATTAATTCACTTAGGAGTATGGCCTCAATGTATATCCACTTAGCTATAAATAGCTCTAGTTTCTCATTCTTTATTGCTGAGTAGTACCCCATTTTATAAAATAACAACAACAACAACAAAACCATCTTTTTTATCCAGTCTCCAGTTGGTGGGCAATTGGGCTGTTTCAAATTTTAGCTATTACAAACTGTGCCTCTATTTACATGGGTGAGCATATATTGCTGTGGTATGATTCTTTTTATACTTTTGGGAAGATACTCAACAGAGGAATAACTGGGTCAAATGAGACTTCTAGTCCTAATTGTTTGAGGTATCTCCATATTGATTTCCACAGTGGTTGTACCAGTCTGCACTCCCACAAACAATGAAGAAGAGTTCCTATCTCCCCACAACCCCCGCAGTATTTGTTATTGTGTGATTTCTTGATAGCAGCCATTCTTTCTGGGGTGAGGTGGAATCTCAGTGTTGTTTTCATCTGCATGACAATATGTGTGTTGAGGCATAGAGTGTCATGGAAGTTTATCTCAGATGTTGCTTCACTCATTCTGGAGAGTATTTGATTACCTTGTTCATAGAAATGGAAATATTCCTTAGAAGTCAACTCTTTTCTCTCTTTGCATTGGATCTCTGGCAAGAAAAGAACTATTGACTGAAAAGCATAGAGAGAAAGTGGAGAACTAGGGAAATAATTTAAGTTGATGATACTGCTTAACATGTGCTCTGGATGTGTCTTAACATGTGTCTTCATGTGCTCTAGATCATGAATACACCTAAACTAGGTCAGTCTTTGTTTCCTGACCTTTTTGAAGATGATTGAAAATGAAAAGCATTCTCCAAGAACCAGGTCAATAAGAGGGTGTGCTTTCTTCTCTACTTCTATGATACAGTTTAAAGAATTAACTGAAAGCCACAGAAAAACAATGACCAAAATGGGATTAAAAGAGCTGATATAATCACATATCTGGGTGGAATTCACAAGCCCAGTACATGAAAATATGGTTCTTTGGGGGAATATTTTTATTAATATTCTCTTATCAGTCCTTATCTGCCCTTATCAGGCACCTTCCACAAGAAGTGCAACTCCATGCTATGTCCTATCTTTAAAATATTCATGGATACAAAAACTGACAATATGCTCAGAATCGTCATTATATTTTTCTCATTTATGTGGAGAAGCAAATTATAAATGTTAATTAAAAGGCATTAGAACACTGAGAGATTTTACGTGTGTGTGTGTGTGTGTGTGTGTGTGTGTATGTGTGTGTGTGTGAGTGTGTGTGGTCCTTATCAATTAGGCTGTATATTTTATAAAAGAAAATGAATGATTTATGGACCATTTGCTTTTGATAGTAAGACTCATACCTTCCCAGTGTCTTGGGCTCTAGGAGCCTGCTTCTCAGTGGGGTGTGGACATCAGATTGACTTTGAGAAGAATTTCAAAATTCTCTTTGTTCTAGCCTCTTCAATCTGGTGTTGTGAAGCCTTCAATTCATAAGTGATCTTGAACACACCTGTAGTTGAACAGACTGGGTCCCACTCTCTGCAGTGGAGAACAACAGCCTGCGCCACTACAGGGAAGCATGTATTACGGGCTGTGGGCTTTGTTAGGGAATTTGGGGGAGGATTCAAAGAACGAAGGTTGCACCCTAGACTGGGTGTGTCACAAAGTGGGGGATATTCTGTACTAAGCTAATTTCATCATAAGTTTTTACAATAAATCCCACCCAAGACTTGGGAAACTAGTATAAAGATAAGTCTGTATGTGGTTTAAAAAAAAAAAAAGAAAAAGTATCAGTGCATCATTTTGTTCGAAAAAGAGGCATTTGGTATTTTTGGGGGAGGGATGACACTGTGCCCTTGTTCACTGTATGTAGACAAAACTGAATGTCAGGGGTAACTGCATTTTCTTTCTTCTCTAACAAAGCTAGTGGCTACCACTTTTTCATTACCTACTTTGAAGTTTTTATTACAAAATATTTCAGTTGTATAATAAAAGTAAAAATAATATGTTGAACAGCATTTATCTAACAAATAGCTTACAAAAAAGATTACAGATAAAAGCATTTGAACATTTTTCTCAGAATTTAATCCCCCTTAGTAGGAAACTATTAACCTGAATTTGATGTTTATCATGCTTAAGAGTGATGTATTTCCTTTCTGTTTAAAAATGTGTATAATTTTATGGTCTCTGTCTTTTCTAAGAATTATATAATATCTAATTATATACTTTTGATCATTTTTTAATTCTAACTAACAGCTTAAGTAGCAAACTGTGTAAGGAATCACAAAACAACTTATACTGGACACAGGGCTGTACGATGTACTTTTATATGCATTGTTAAACATTTTAAACCAGTTTTAATCATAGCATCTAGTGACTCTCAGGGGCAATTTGTTGATTTTATGTAGAAAGACATCGAGTGACTTTTCCCTCGATAAACACTTTTGACACAAACTGACCCTCCTCCAATGGAAACTCACATATTACAACAATAACTGACTATTTTAATTTCATGAAGCAAAGGATTGACTTCTACTTGCTAATAGCACTAAAGAAAGCAATACTATCAAAGCAAGTGGCCGGGTACATCAAGAGATCAATCTGCTACATTAAGTACAAGACTCGCATTCCCTGTGATTGTACATTTCCATGTGGCATAGCATTAATTAAACCCATCAGTGGCTTCCTCCTTCCAGGAGAACATTTTCTGTCTGACAAGAAATGTCAACTGAAGAATGTGTGCCACAGGTGACCTGCCATTGAAAACACCATCATTTTCACCTACAGAGAAGTTCCTACATGCACACTTCCAGACAGGCATGGAGAGAACAGTATCATCTCTTAGCACTCTCTCGGCCTCCCTGACTATCAGGCCATGGGGAGGGGACTGTCTTCTGCCCTGTTGAAGTTGCCAAAGATAAACACATTTAAGACTCTATGACATCTGTTGTCATCTGGTGTTACGTGGGACATTTCCAATGAAAGGAGGAAGAAAACCTTCATTGGATTTGCAGGGTTTTGATGCCCCTACACTTATCCGACAGGAAAGCAGAAACTAAGCCCAGTATCGGGCTCAGCTTCACTCCGCCAGGCGCTTGGCATGTTAAGTACACACGTGTGCCGAGGCCCAAGTAGCTTGCAGAGCGGGCGGCTGGAGAAGCACGTGGGATGAGCCTCCCGGTTTTTAAGCAAAATATTGCAGAGGTAAAAATCTACCCAAAGTCTTTGTACTGACGTTTCCATCATTCTCATTGCAGGGGAGCACTTACGAATCTGTCCTCAGGAATATACGTGCTGCACCACAGAGATGGAAGACAAGTTAAGCCAGCAAAGCAAGCTCGAGTTTGAAAACCTTGTGGAAGAGACAAGCCATTTCGTGCGAACCACTTTTGTGTCAAGGCACAAGAAATTTGATGGTAAGTGAAAGAGTTTGCACTTTACTTTGCTGTTGGATGTGTTTTTCAATGAGAATGATGCCATTATCTGAAAAACATTTCGAAGAGGGTGCTGTTCATCCCTTCTCAAACATTTCCGGCACGTTCTATTTTTAGAAAAAGCATAAGTTTCTCTGGAGAGTTTATTTTAGTAATATCTTGGGCAAGTGTGAGTTAACAAAGAGCATTTTTGCTTTTGTGCTTTGCCTGTGAGGTTTATTCTGAAAGATTTAGCTCCGTTGTTCATTGTTAGAGTGATTGTAATTGAAGTTTACCACACTATAGCTTTTCTTCAGTTTTCATGAGATGATTTTTTTCTTTAAAAGTATATTACTTAATATGAAATATAGCATGACTTTTAAGAGGACAGGCTTGTCTTAACTGCCGGTGACACAGACATCTTTGTTTTAGAGTTTGCCGTTGTGACAGTCTAACACATTTTACATTGCAGTTTGGGGGTGTTCTGCATAGAATGAGACACTCCTCTTATTTCCTTATCATAAGCATTGACTTCATATCTCTATTCTAGCTGTTAAGTGAACATTTTTATTAGAAAGCACAAACAGCAAAAGCAGTTATTAGTAGGATTTTAGCAGTGAATACTCTCATCAGAATTTCAGAAAAAAAAATGGAGTACATTTTGATGTTTCAGAACAGTGTTAATACAACCACAGATTAATATTTTTGGATGATGTGCACTTTTTGCTGCTCTAGCAAGGGAATGTACCTCGCTGAGATTTGTTCTAAACTTGACTCTCAAGTTCTGGCAGCTTCTTCAGGCCGTTTGGACACAGTACCTTGCTCTCCAGCAACAGAGCTGCTATTCATTCGCTTCCCCTCTCCACCCAATGCACAACAGAGCCAGTTAGAAAGGCTCGCCACCATGTTTTTATTTTTTCTCCTTTTTCTCAGTGTAGTAGGTAAAATGTTTCGCTTCACTGATGCTTTAAACCATTATTGTAATAATGATCTCTTTCAAATTAATTCTCTGAGTTATAAAAGATGGTTCCACAGTGTTTTCAGCATTCATGATGATGCGACCGTTGATGTGTGAGCGACTGGTGCTTAATCTTCCCAACATCTCTACATCCTTTCTTCGTCTGTTGCTGTGTGTGTATAACTTCACCTGTGGCCGCTTATGGAAATAATTCCTTAGTTAGCAGTCGTGGTGTACGTGTTGGCCCTTCGTGGCAATTATGGAAAATGTGCTTTGCCTTTTATTGGCAGATTGCATAGAAATCCAGGGGTATTGAGGAGCCCCTGATGGGACTTTCTGGGGGGTAATGTGATCTATGGTTTCAAACTGTTTCAGGTTGAGCTGAATTAAGACATCTTGTCATTTGTTGCTGGAGGAAGTTGAGTGTGATGTGCTGCTGATGATTTTTATTTATGTCTTTGGAAAACAAATCTAACAAAATCACAAAGCTTCAAAGAAGCTAAAATAATTCCAGGACACTATTCATGGTAGCTAATATATATTGTTTTTAAGAAAATTACTATATGTTAATTGGCTTAATGGAGAGCTAACTTTTTTTTAGATAAGTAAATCTATTGAACAAGACTGGGCAAGATATTCAGATTATTATCATATCAATAACTTTTAATAGCTTTGGGTCTACATTACTTAATCCCTGAACTCTTTCGACTTATTAAAGAAACCATTCTCTCTTTCCCTGTCCTTTTCTTTTCATAGGTTTGTTTTAAATCCTTCTAATGTTCGTAGGGCCATGATGTCAATCAGTTTGACAGCAGATTGATTTTGCGAAGATTAGATCTAACATAGGGGAGAGGGATATTCTTTAGGAACACTGCATTAGGCTAGCATGAGAGAGAAGTTAAATTTTTGTTTTTTTTTTAATGAAGTTTTCAGACTTAAAAAAATCTAAATGTGATCCTGGTAAATCAGGCCTTGAAAATCTCATTCTTAAAAAGTAATGATAATGATGATGACAATGATGAGGAAGCTGATGATGATATATCCATTTAAATCCTAATTTCTGCCCTTTGGGCAATTCTGTTTGGGCAATGGTATGATCCACTTTTGTTTTTAACCACAAGGTGATTCTGCTAGTGGACCGTTCAGGAGTGATGGTGAATTCCTGTGGGTCTCCCACCCGCTTTTGTGCTGGGAACTGAACCCAGAGCCTTGGCACATGTTAGGCAAGTGCTCTACCACTCTAGTCCCCCATTGGCTTAAGAAAACACACCACCCCCTGGCTTTATTATTGAATATCAGTTGGTGTTAATACAGAGAAGTAATGTAGGATCAGTTGTACAGTAGTACCACCTTCTGAGCTTTCTTTTCACACATAAAACCCATTGTGTTATGAAAGACTTTGAATTTCCTTTTAGTAATTTTCAGTTTGGTGAATCATTTTGTATTATTCCTGGACTCTTACTTTTTTTGTTTTCTGTACTGGGGCTTGAACCCCTTCTTTATTTTGAGACAGGGTCTTGCTAATTTATGAAATCACCCAGTTTAGGCTTAAATTTGTGATCCTCCTGCTTCGGCCTTCTACAGTGCTGAGACTGCAGTCAGGAAATCTATTGGATAAGATGTGCAGCTTGAGGTTCACCTCTGGCCCTACTTTCACAGAGGTCTACATTTGTCACTGGTATGTTGTATGTTTTACTTAGCTGTAAATTATTAGACTTAGATTTTTAAAAAGTACCGTTAATGAAAAAGGCAATGGCTTTCAGTCCTACTTTTTTTTAAGTACAGTAACAATTTGGATTTACTGGGTATGTGTGATCCAGTCCACAGTATATTCAGAGGCTAAATTCAATCACGGGACTCATTAGTTTCTTATTGTTGCATTCTTTACTGTATCAGAAGTGTCTTGATTCCATTAAACTTCATTTTCTGGCACTGGTGACTATTTAAAAATTTGAAATTCCAATACACTGAACATGAAACCAATTTCTACTTATGGTCATATTCTTTTCTGTTTTTAATTAATATTTAGAGTAATATTATGAAGATAACACTTTGTACAATTATAGATATTTATTGGATGACAGGAAACTAAACTTGGATTAATATAAATTCTTTCCCAGCTTTTTAAATGGCCAAGCTTTGTCCATAACCCCATTAACTAACATTTTTAGCTTAGAGACTGGAATTGAATAAGTATACATTTTCTGGCAGAGAATTTTTCTTGTACTTGTATAGCTTTTTAAATTTTCAAACATGGCAATGTTATTATGAATGAATATATACTAAGAGAGGTTTATGTTCTCAGTATTGGTACTTCTCCAAATGTCTCATAAGGTTCTATTTGTTTTCCTTTCTCTGCCACGTTTCCACCTGAGCTGTCGTCCGACATCCTGCAGGTGCCACCTTCTTTCTGTCCTAGCCGGGTCGGTGCCATGCTCTTTTGGAACTCCACCGGATGTTCCCAGCATGCTCAGCACTCAAGGCCAGCTTTTCCGTCGGTCCTTGGGGATTACAATTGTGTATGAAAACCTGGCCAAGTTCACCTGGCAGAATAAACCAACATCATTCCCTCACCTCTCACCTCTCTCATCTCCGCCAAACACCACAGGAAGCCACAAACTCAACAGCAAATAAACACAATCATATGCAGAATGCAATCAAAGAGAAAGGCCGTGGTGCACCCACTGACTGAGCTACAATCTTGTATTTAGCGACAACAGCCTGGCCTGTCAGATCGGTATTGGTAGCTGAAACCTCACTGCTTTTGTGCTCCTGGGTGGCTTATTGGGATCTTAGGAGAGGGAGATTTACTAAGCATTCCGATGGTAGTCTTGTTAATGAGGGGCAGCAGCTGGCCCTTTTCCTCACTCTTCGCACACTCACGCTGTTTACCAGGGATAAACTGCAATGAAAAGTCACAAAGATACCAAGTGGCCGAACAAGGATTCAGTCCCAGGCCGAGCACGCCTGGATCCCGGTTCTCAGCCACCTTCACCCCACCACCTCCCCAGTGTTTTCCAGTCCTCGGATGTACTGTCGTTTCATGGTCACCGATCTACTCCCTCTACCTCCCCCACCTGTTCTGTCCCAGTTGTGGGAAGGAAGTGAAAATGACTGTTAGAGAAGGTGGAAGATGTTTTTAATCCTGAAAGAAGAAAATTACTCAACTAAATATAGTCCAGCTCCCGAGGAGCCTGGAGCCTCGGGAGGGAAAATGACTTGCCAAGTTTCCACCAAGAATGTGGAAACCGAGATTGTACCCTGATGCTTAACTCACTCTTATAAATAGTAATGTTATCAGAAATCAATATTTGGTTGAAATTCTAAGCCTTTATTTGTTTTGAGTAGTCAGTGGCAGAAAATTAGTGATACTTCTTTATCAAGGCAATAATGATATGGGTGGGTAAAGAATCTAAGCACTCTTCTTGAAAAGGTAAAAAAAAATAGTTACAAGTTTTTCTTGAATTGAAGAGGAATGCGAAAATATATGATTGAATCATTGAAGGCATATTACTTATTCTCTTTATCTCACAAAACCTACTGGCTTCTCTCCTAACGTAGACACTGGCACCCTCTTCTCCAGGAATGTTTTAGGAATACGGATTATTCAGAGACAGGAAAGTTTGCATGAATGGATATTTTACTCTGTTTTTCCCCTTTGAATTTATTTGAGCTAAAATTTATTCACATTGGGAGCGCCATATGAGGTTTTTAAATTTAGTATGTTCTTCTTGATGTTATTATTTTTCTTTTCTTGCTGGTTGTTATTTATGCATTTTAATGATATACATTTGTCCAGAGATTTTGGCAGCAAGTGCATTTTTAAAAGCAAAATAAAAAAAATGAATAGTAATTTCCAGCCTCATGAAGAACTTATTCTGCAGTAAGTCTCTCAGAATACCCATTGCACTGAATGTGGAAATAATTTATATACAGAGGCTTATTTTTATATTGCAAATCTGCTCATGTTTTCTTTTTAAATATCATTTCTCATCTATATACAGTAGAGATGACAATAATGTAATGACTTCTTTAAAATATAGCC